CTATCTCTATCTCTCTCTTTCTCTCTCCCCCTCCCTCCCTCTCCACAAATCGTTCAAGCACGTTTTTTTGCACGTCTCTAATATTTGGACTCTGCTGGGGTCCGGTTGCAGTCTCCGCGGTTGGGGTTGGGATAGCACGGAAGTTCGAGCGTTTTGGTCTAGTGTCAGTCTCCAGCTTTCAGCACGGGATCTCTTTTCAGCTTTTTTTTGAGCGGGTTAGTTTCTTTTGTGGTTCTTCTTAGCCGCCAAAGTTTTCCTGCTGTTGGGAAGCGACGCATGTCGAAGTGACGTCTGACATGTACCCGCGCGGGGGATCAAGGCCCATCCGCGAGAGCACGGTCAGCCGCGAGATGACCCAGCGCTACATGAGTGAAATGATCGACTATGCGGAGACCGACGTGTGCCTTGAAGCCATAATAGTCCGATATGTGAACGAGCTGCTGCAATAATAGAGCGATCTTAGTAGCACTGTGGTCCAACAGTTGAGGTGCATTGTTGGTGCCGGTTCTGCTGGGCTGTCGTGTGCCTACGAACTCTCCAAACATCCGGACATCAAGGTTGCAATTATCGAGCAGAATGTGGCGCCAGGGGGTGGTTGTTGGCTGGGTGGGCAACTCATGAGCTCCATGGTCGTGCGCAAGCCTGCCGATGAATTCCTGGATGAACTGGAGGTTCCGTATGACGACAAGGGTGACTACGTGGTTGTCAAGCATGCGGCCCTCTTCATGTCCTCCGTCTTGCGCAAGGCGCTTCTGGCCCCGAATGTGAAGCTTTTCAATGCAGTTGCGGTGGAGGACCTCCTGGTGAAGCAAGAGGCAGATGGCGTGGCCGTGCGTGGCGCTCCCTGACTGGGTATGGCGCAACGCTACGACAGAATGACGTTCATAGACAAACACGGACTCTAATTAACTAGAAGCTTGCCGGGCTTTCATTTCGGCAGCCAAGATCAGACACATCGGACTGTTGGGCGTCTAAGGTTGTGACCAACTGGTCCCTCGTGACGCAGAACCACGACACGCAGTCCTGCATGGACCCGCAAGTCATGGAGGCCAAGGTGGTCGTCACTGCCACTGGCCATGATGGTCCCATGGGCGCCAGTTCAGCCAAGCGCCTGGAATCCTTGGGAGCCTTGCCTTCAGGGCTTCCAGGAATGGGAGCCCTGGACATGAACACGGCAGAGGATGCAGTGGTGCAGATGACGAGCGAGGTCGTCCCAGGTCTGATCTTCGCGGGCATGGAAGTCGCTGAGGCACGTGGCTGCAACAGGATGGGCCCAACCTTTGGTGCCATGCTTCTCTCGGGCCAAAAGGCCGCCAATCTCGCCATCCAAGCTCTGAAGCGCTGAAGCTGAAGGGCAGCACAGGCTGCACTCGGGCAGTTCCGGCCGTTCACGGCCCCGAACAGGTTTTGGTATAGAATTCTAGAGCTAGCACTCAGAGCCACGCAGCGTTCCATGTTGGCTCCGAGCTACCAGCAAGAGCAGAGTTTCAAGGAGATGTGCCGTCGCGCATTGAAAAGCTGCGATGTACTGCTGCTCCAGAATGCCGCAAGTCGCGTTGTGCTGGTGAGAAAAGCAAGCCTTTGCAGACAATCGCTCTTGTTGATGGTATCATGGTTTGGGTTAAGGCTTGGACCTCTTCGGCAGACGCCAGCGGCCAGATGCAGTGCCCGTCTCGAAACTCAGGCTTCAATTGACCCATGCGACGGCATGTAGAAATTTGGTAGGTACTGGCAGAATGCTTTGCAGGTTCTCCGAGCTTGCTGCCGAGAATTGTATTCAATCCAGTTGCGTGCACGAAGCGTGACGGCTTTTTGGAGATGATAAGAGCCCAGGTGGCACGAAGTAGCGGTGTCAAGCTGGACGCGACGGCGGCCGTTACGGTGGCTCATTCCAGGGCTCGTCGTTCTTGAGAACTGGGAGTGGCACCATTCAGGCGGAGCGTGCCTGCCTCGCTGCTGAAGAGTGGATCAGGACATCGAGCCTAGCGGATCCTAGCGGCCTAGCCCTCCCCGTCCTCCTCCAAAGTCCGTTTCGGCTGTGCACCTTGCAGATCTCTGGAGATCCTGGCGGGCCAGCGCCTGTACCTCAGACGTACTTGTGCTCCAGAGGATAGTGGAGCGAACTCCGCGCCAAGGCCACGTGCGCCTTTCCGGGGACATCGTGAGTCATGCCGTTTCTGTGTTCGGCCCAGTTGATTGAATTTGCTCCGATGTCATGCAAATGCGAGCCTCTCAGGTGGAGGCGTGCTGTGTTGGCAGCTGCTGGAACCAGGCATGCATCAGCATGTTGACCTGAGCAGTTCTGCACGTTGCATTTTCCGGACGAAGAACAGAAAGCCTGGCCTTTGTGAACAAGCTTCTGAGCGGATCTGGTGACGTCATCGCAGGCTTTGGTTTTGGTTGTCTCCCAGAGAGATCAGACATCATCTGCTGCGCCTGGCCCAGTGTTGTTCTGATCGACACTTTTTGACTCTGAGCGCCAGAGTGCATGCAGCTTGCCAACATACTTCGATGCTTCACACAGCATGCAGTCTGAGTCCTTCCCTTGCTGACAACCTCCGGAAAATGTGCTTATAAGCATATGCAGAGTATGCAGATGTTTCGCCGGCCGTCCGCATGAGCAAGCTGCCCTCTGTTCAGGCTCTGAACTCCTTCGTCAGCAGCTGCACTTCCGCAGGTGTCTCTCTTGTGAAATCCTGTGTAGTATCGAGCTGTTGGAAGAACTCCAAACGGTAAGACTCCCAAATGGCAGGCGCATGGCAGCAAGCAGTTGAGGCTTTGAGCTTTGTGCCGAGCACGGAGACGGAGGAGGCCGGCCATGCTTAGACAAGCACACGGAGGATTTGACCCACAAGGCTTCCCCGAAAATTCGAAGGAAGTTCAGGGCTCGGGGAGTTCATTGGAAGGGCCGCGCTTGTTCCGACAGCGGGGCATTCTGGGTGGAGTTTCGGGCAACGCAGCCAGTGAGTTCCGCCAGGATGCAGTTTTCGGTTGGAACTCGGCATTGATGGCTTGCGTTAGCGCCGACAAGTGGGACAAGGCCAACTGCTCTGAGTTGTGGAGCTCTCATGGCAATCTCATAGCGTAGAAGTCTGCATCCTTCCGGACAGGCTTTGTTGCTGCTCAATGACATGAGCGACAGCCTTGGATTTGCAAAATATGTGCGCAGGGATGGCCGTGGCCCATGGCCAGTGATAACGAAGTCGTGAAGCTCTCTCCGCAGTTGTTGAACCACCCGCCGTCGAATGCTGTTTGCAGGTGCAGTTCTGTTGAAGCCAGACGTCGTGAGCCTGGCGACGGTCCTCGATACCCTCCAATCGAAGACACACCAAGTGAGGCCGAGTGGTGCAATCAACCTACACTCCTCCCCGGCTTCTCGTTCATCGAGAGCTTGCCAACCTAATTACCCACCCCTTGCAGTCGTTGAGGCTCCTCGACAGCCTCTCGGCTGTGAGCGTCACATGCTCGGAAAGCCGGCACCTGCTACTGGCAGCCGGGAACTGAGATGGGAAGCACTTTCACCGACAGAATGGGAGCAGCTTGAACAAAATTGGAGACGAGGCACAGGAGCTGGAAGCCCATGGCATGCTCGCCTCCACAGTGGCGGCCGCGGCATTTGGTGGCAGTCTTATAAGGGCGACGTGTTGACGGGCCTAGAAGCTTAATGATTGCCCTGGTTGCCGCTGGCATTGCTGGATGCCCAGACCTCAGAGGCGCCGCACGGCGGTCCTTCAGATCGGTCCTTGGGCTGCGGTGTAAAGGAGAGCGGCTACTGGAGCTCGTGCTGAGCTTCCGCAGCTTGCCTTTGCCGGAGTCGCAGGAGGGAGCCAGCGAGTCGCTGAAGTTCCAGGTGAGAGTCGCTGAGAGCTCAAGAGTCCTGTCTAAGTCTTCGAGCTCGTGCATTGGACGACTGCCTCGCAACGCTGCCTGCTGAGCAGACCTCTCACAAGATCGACGTTTCGCCATCGATGTCGAAGCGCTGCATGTTTCTACCACATGTCGGTGCATGCCAGGGGTGGGCAGCTCTCTCCTGACATGGCGGTTGCTTGAGGAGCCGCCTCCTTACGATGAAAACCCTATGAAGGCTCCTTGCCAACCGGCATTTCAGAGCTTTGAGCCTCGCTTCTTCGAAGGTACGATCTGTCGTGTGGTGGCCAGAGGAGCGTTTTGTAAGTTTGTTCGGCAGTGTGGCGACTTCGATACGAGCTTGAGTTAAAAGCTACTTGCAGCCATTTGAGGCTCTGTAGTTGTCATAGGGCCCGCACGAAGTGCTTCGAGCGGTGAGGCTTCTGCACCATACAGGCACGTAAGTTTGGCTAGGGCGGCTCGTTCGGGCAGGTAATGCCAAGAGGCTCGTCGTGGTGACCAGAAGGCCAGGGTCTTCGAAGACCGTAACTTGAGCACTTCTTGGCCGCTTCAGGTTTGCAAGTTCAAGGGTTTAGTAGCGATGCGAGGCAGGGGCAATGGCGCACTTCTTCCTGATGCAAGGAAAGATGGATGAGGCCAGGTGAACCAGCCATACCCATCAGCTGTGCCTTTCTGGAATGACAGCCTTGTGCTGAAGAGGTCGCAAAGAAGTTCTTTGCCGTCACACAGGAAGCGAATGATGCCCTTCCATCTGAGGCGCTGGGCTTGGCCTCTTAAACAAAACAACCGAATATCAACGACGGCCTGCCGTATTTGCGAGGTGGCAGCCGTCACAAAGATTCAGTCCGTGCACCGAGCCTCGCAGATCCGGAGCGTCTACCATGCAGTGGTGGCTGCTGTCGCCTGGCCAATTCCGGGATGGGTGCTGTCAGTCCGTATCGAGCACGAGCTTGAGAAGCCCCGCAGAAGCCCCGCGTTTTTCAGCAAGGCGCTCCTCATCCAGCGCATGATCCGCGGATGTCTGGGAAGGAGACGAGCCAAGTCTTTGAGCATTGAGCGTGGCCGGGATGCATAGACCCAAACCAGTGAGTGGGAGCTCCCCATGACAGCACATCCTGGAGCAGAGTAGTCCTCCTTTGAGGCTCCTTGGTCCTTGTGCTCTGCGGCCTGCCCCTGCTCTCTTCCCACCTCTCTGCGTTTGTGGTCCTACCTTTTTAGGCCAAGGTTCTCCTGTCAGGCCCCTCAGTCTGCAGACCCCCTTGACTTGACCCTGACCACTTGCACCAGCTTCCTAGCAGAGAGCAGGCAGAGTGCAGATGGCGTGCCAATGCAAGCCCGAGGTACAAACAAGCTACAGCTACACTTCTTCCACCACTGTGCAGGGTGCTGAGATGTCTTTCTCTGCTGCGAGCTGCTGACGGACGATGGCGGACACAAAGCCAAGGCTGCCATGATCCAACGCCTTTGGCGTGGGTGGTGGAGCCGATTGCATGTGCACGATTTCTACATGCGAAGAGATTACCTCGTCAAGGCTAGGCACACATTCCCAAGAGCCCTAGCGATCTCCAATAGTGAGTGTTGGGCATACAGGTGGAGCAGCGAGGACAGTGGACGCAGGACTTCCTGGCATCAGAGCACAAGGACGGATTGAGCACAGAGGGGTGGGTAGACCCCAACGCAAATGCCGGGAGGAGAAGCTTCAGGTCGCCAAGATGGAGGAGGAGTTGAAGGTCCGTCAGGAGCTCCTTGGAGCAAAGGTCGTTAGTTGGAGAGGTTTGGACGTGCGATGCTAGCATGACTTTCATGACTCATTTCTGCAATGGGGCAAGGTTTGACAGTCTTGCAGGTGATCTGCCTCTCAGCTGAAACGTGTGATCTATGTGCATGCTTGTCCGAAGCACCTGCAGATTCCAGACTTGTGCTGCGAGGCATCACCTCATGAGCACGAGAAGTATCCCAGGCCATGCCCCGAAACACTTGCCAGCGACTCGCGCAGCCCGGCTGAGTCAGGAGTGTACAATCCACCCTACAGCGACCTTCTGCCCAAAGCTTTCGAGAAGCCTATAGAAGACCACCTCCGCGATGCGTGTCGGGCGACTCGGCTGCAGACTCGACCCGACAGCCGACAAAAGCCAGCGGCTGGAGTTCTCCAAATGCAGGTGCAGCTGCCGAAGGCCATGCGAAGGCCGCCTTCACCCACCCACCACAAACCGCCAGTGTTGGGTGCGAGAGTGTACGGTAAGAGAACAGCAATTCAGGCTCATGGTTAAGCTCGAGACTTCCAGGGGGTCTGTTGCGAGAGCCCGATTCGCAACATCGAATTGCATGGCGGCTGCATGGCAGCCGGCGCGGAGTCTAGCGACTTAGCCCCGAAAGTGAGCACCGCGCGGCAGAGCGGCCAAATGCGTACTCATGAGAGTCGCGAGGGGGATTGGCGAGAATATCGATTTCGACTGTCTCAGGAGCAAGTGTCGGTGTATCGCCGAGGAAGTTTGGTGTCGCATTGTCTAGTCCAATCGGTGTGGGCAGCTGATGAAAGTAGCACCAGCAGTGGCAGGCCTCGGCACACGAACTTGCCGTCGCCGGGGGGGTCCACAAACTATGGCTCATCACAGGCCCTTGCTATGCTAGCGATGTCGAAGTACACATTGGTGTCGTGCGACAAATGCTTTCGCTGTTCCATGTGCAGGCGGAGCGGCTTGGCTACGACTTGTCGGCTCCTCCCCAGGATCTGCCGGAGCGAGCTCCCCATTACTCCCGCACGGCCAGCACTGGTTGGGGGCTCGCTGGGTTCGCATGCTTCCGCTTCCTCCTGGTTGTGGCATGTCGTGGCTCCAAATCTTCAGGTCACTTGCGCAAGATACAGGGGCCGTTCAGGTCCAGAGAGCAGATTGAGGTGGCCAGGAGCCCAGACAGATGCAGCCAGCTTTTGCAATGCAAACCTGGGAGATTCAGGCGAATATCAAAGCTGCCAACACTTTCAGTGCTCGAGCTGCATTAACGTAATAAAAGGGCTAGCGCCACATGAGTTCCGCTCGAGCTTGTGAGGAAGCATTCAAGCCTCTTCCGCGTACGACGCAGTAGAGGACGACCGACGAATGCAGGCTCCAAAACCTTCTGTTTGTTGTTCCAGCTACGAAGTACCAGAGGTGCAACCGTTGCGCTGTGCAGGAGAGGATTTCAAAATTGGTACGATCCTCTCCGGTAGACTTCGCGGCTCCTGGCTGCGTCAAAGACAGGCAGAACCCTGTTAGCGTACATGTGTGCGGCTCCCAGCGTATTGTCTGACTTGAGTGCCATGCACATATCGCGAAGTGGCAGCCGTAAATGCTGAAGCCCAAGGGGACTTCCATACAAAGACCGCCCACTCAGCCTTCGGGGCGACTATGTAGAGCTGCCAAAGATCCGGGCTCGAAGCTAAGTGCCGCATGTTGCTTTGACAATAGGAGATGTGCACTGTGTGTCCGCTGCCCGTTTGGAAAGGACAAGCCACCGTTCTTCACTGCACTCGGGCCGGGCAAGCAGTTCACGGACTACGACGAACAGCCATTGCAGCTCGCCAGAGTGTCTCCAACAAGGGCATGTTAGACTTTTGTTAGTGCGACGTGCTGCATCGAAGGATGCTACCCAATTTGGCGGGGGGGGGGGGGGGGGGGTTGTAAAACAATTGAGCCATTTGTTCGGTAGTGCTCATCTGAGCTGAACAGCCGGAGCACACAACATGGAATGCGATAAAGTTGTACTGGGACGACCATGGCAAACATGCCCTTAAATGATCTGAATGGTGTTTTGCGGGATGAACTTGAACGGCTCGGCGCATGCCGTTGTGGCAGTTGCCCATGCCATGCAAGGCTGGCGCATGGCCATGTTTGAGCAGAAGGTTCGTTTCGGGATCCAGACCGTTCTGAAGCAGTTTCACCAGTGGGAAAGTGTGTCCTGCAGACAGGCAGGGTGCTTCAATTTTGGAGCTTGCTATCCACATCTTTCAATCGAGGAACTGCAGAACTATTCAGCGCGCATATGGTCCCGCAAACCGTGCTTCGTAAAGGCGTTCCTCGCTGTGCAAGCGTTCGGGGTGTAGAATAGTGAATAGTGCACAGTTTGAAAATTCGGTACCCGCCAGACTACAAGTAGCTGGCTTGCAAGACATGGCCTTGCCTTATGCGAGGGTGGAGATAATGCTTGCACACTCTAGACCCCATGGATTCGGGAGGAGCGGGGGGAGGGGTCTGGAATCTGGAGGTGTCTTCTTGCAGCGCGTTCATCTCCAGCCTTGTCCGAAATCCCCCGTGGAAAGCCACTCTAAGAGGGGCGAAAGGTGTTTTCCCTTTCATGCTGCACTCCAAACGGATGCAGATGCTTTTTTTGCATGCCGGGAACGGCGTTTCACTAAACCATTTTCAGACATCTTTGCCGCGAGACGCTCCATGTGACGAAGGGGTGCTGTCATGTACAGTAGGCCAGGCACAGGTTCATGCGGGCACCACAGCTTAGCTTCCAGGAGAGAAGGAAGTACCTGGATGAGCTGCGCCCGACAAGGCCGCGCTTTTGCACAAGGACGCGACCGGCCGGCAAGCCGCGCCTCGAAGCTTTCGTTGCGCCATGTTGTACCGTTATGTACCGTTGTACCACTCTTTCCAGATTTGCCACGAAAGGCACCCGTCGACAAATGGCGTCTGCCAACACAGTTGTCCTGGACCACGTCTTGCTGGTGAATGTCGGCAGCTGACTGCAGCATGCAGGGAATTTAGGGTTTAAGCCATGTCCGCAAGCAGGGAGGACACTGGCTCAAGCATGTCAGCAAGCATGCGCAGGAGGTTTGTTCATTTCCTTCTCTTCAAGCAGGCAGCAGTCTTCCGCTGACCTTAAGACCGGTCGCTTTTGCAGAAGTGTGTTGCAGTGTATCTCAAGCTTATCGTCAATCTTGAGGCACAGACTTTGCGCACCTTTCTTGAGCTTAGATTTACATGGCATGGATCTCGGCTACGCAGCGGACCCCGCTGTCCAGCCTCTTGTCGCAAAAGGCCGAGCAGATCGAGAGCCTTCGCCGTCAACTCGAGGTGGAGGCCCCGCCAGAGGTGGACGATGTCTGGCTCTTGCGCTACGTGCTGAGCTTCGAATCCCGGCCCGCGGAAGCCGCCACTGCTGCTCGGAAAGCACTGCAGTGGCAACATGATCACGGAGAGCTTATACAAGCAGCGAAGATGCGCAGATTACCGCCCGGCCTGACCATGGAAGACGTACAAGCACTTCAATGCATGTTGGTCTCGGGATTCCACTTCACAACTACCTTTGGCGACCCAGTCTTTGTCATACGGGCTGGTCAGTCGAACCAGAGTCTGTTGTTAGACATGGTCGGCGAAGACAAAGTCGAGCTTTGGCTGACTTACCTCGGCGAATGCGCGTGGCAGTTTTGCGAGGCTGCAACGCGACGCAACGGTTATTTCGTCAAGCAGTTCACATTGCAAGACTTTGCTTCGGCATCCATGTCGCAGGATCGAAGATTCTTCAAAATCTTGGGCCGAAACTCGAAGATGAATGAGTGGTTGCGACCACAGTTTATGGGGAGAGCAATTTTCTTCAACACGCCGACGTGGATGAGCCTCGCATTTGCCATTGCAGCCAAATTGGTCAGCCAAAAGTTTCTGTCAAAGATTTGGGTACATCGTCAAAGCGTTGGGCTGCAACACCAAGGGGCAAACCTGTGCCCATATGCACAGCAACTTCTCAGCGCAGACCGTCTCCCGACTTTTCTCGGAGGGAGCTGTGCTTGTGAAGAGCACGGAGGCTGTGTGAACGGTATGCTGAACAGCAACTTTGGGAAGCACTCCGCAGATGATGTTGTTAGCAGTCCTCGCATAATCTTGCCACTACTGCGGTTGCCGCGCAGTGAGGACGTTGAAAAGTCACCACACCGAAAACCGCCGGCTCCGACTCCACAAGAGGGTGGCTCCGGTGGCGCCGACGTTGTCACGGTTTCTTGCTGGAGGCGCTGCTGCTGGAGGCGACGACCCCTGGCAGCCAGTGCTGATCGTGCAGGCGTGTAGCAGCCTAAAGAATGGCAGCTGGCACTGCAGTTCACAGCGGTCTCACTGCGTGAAAGCATCGCCTCGGCTGTGAAAAATGTCAGCCATGCAAGGTCCGCATGAGCAATCGGCATGGGCAACTGCCTGTCCGTCTCCTTTCATGCAGGCAGCACTAGCAGGCACATTCCTTGCATCCGCTGCGGCTGGAGCCTAGAACGCTGCCCTGCAGCCGTCGTATCCCACCAGATTATTCGCTTGCAGTGTTATCGTGACATGTTGGGCCGCCTGACTGCAGACAGATGCAGTTTTCGGTTTGTGGGCTTGAGGAATCTTGAGGCCACAAAGGCTGTACAACATTGGCTGTGGTGATGTTGGCATATTCCGAGGTCTGCACGAGCAGAACTTTGACGAATGCAATGCCCCTGATGCGTACCCAAACCGAGTGGCTGGCTCAGTTGACATGCCTTTGCAGGCAAAGCGGCAAAGCTTGCAGAAGTTACCATCGGCCCTAGCCTGCCTCCTGCCTGGTTAGGGCATCGATGCCTTCGTGCACAGCAGGGAGGAAAGCCCAGGATGGGGGTGGGGAGAGATTTGCTTGGGAGTTTAGCTATGCCGCTCATTGCCGCGGGGAGGATCTCCGTGGCTTCTTCGTCGGATGAATCGGGAGCAGAACGCCAAGAGGACATCCCCTGGCTTCAAATTCCTGAAGCTCCTGAAACAAGTGGGTGGTCAAGTGCCTCGCCCATGGAGACATTGTGTAAAGTCGGTCAGCATTCGTCCCTGCATTAGCGCTGCAAGCAGCCCTGTTTCGTGGTTGCCAGCCCGTCAGGTGCTGAACAACCAGGCCACAACGGGGTGCAGTCAGATACGCAGAAGCCTATGTCCCGCTTATGGCAGCGTACCACGTAGCATACTCGAGTCGTCAACGTGGTGGAAGATACCGTGAGCCGCAGGAGTTCGATGACGATTTGGAAGCCCAACTCCGTGATGAGATGGGCTTCCCGGCTTCAGAGGCCTTCTGAAGTAATGCAGTCGCTCAGGATAAAGGACCTCAGCCCACAACGTTGAAGCGTCGAGACTTCACTGCAGTTGCAGATGGCTCGGACGTTTTTGCTGAGGTCAGCCGGCGATGGGGAGTTGTGTTCCTGGCATGCACCCAGGAGGTTGAGGTGTAAATGTGACGCTGTAGCTAGGTCAGCTAGGTTGTCACACGGCTCGCGTCAATCTGAGGCCATGCGCTCCTGGTCCGGATCGACGGAAGACTCTGAGACCGGCCTCAAGGCCGACAACGGCAACGGGTCCGAAACAGAAATCAGGTTCCAGACCTGAAGTCGAGTCATGCCGTGGCAGGGGTGGCGCCGTCGCTTCCTGATTGGGGCCCTCTTCCTTACAGTGGTGGCGCTACTTCTGATGATCGTGTATGCTGCTGGGGCATCGAACCGTTTGAACCTGGTGAACGACTTACGCAATGCGGCAGCTTGGCTCAAACACTTGGGGTTTCACCCACATCAAGCTGCAAGCTCAGCACTTCGCTCACTTGCATCGCGCTTAGGTCACACATGGAGGTCCCCCGCTGCCTGGTCGCAAGCGCGCTTCAGCGACTGCATTCCACTGCCCTCTTTCATCATGGCATGTGTTTGTAGATGCATGTGTGCCACTACACATGGAGTTGTTCTAAACCCCTGGCTCTTGACCGTAGGTTAACAGCAGCGCACTTTAATATTTTGATGCAGGTTTAGGACTTGTTACAAAACAAGCACGGCGCAAGGGCGAAAATGAAGCAGCTCAGCGTAAGAAGCTACAAGTACCTAGGAGCTGGTAAAGTGTTTAAGACTGCATGCGTGCACGAGCGCGCAAGGGCGCAGTGCAAGGCGATTTTCGAGTCACGGGCTGCAACCAAAATGAAGAACAACATCCATATACTACAGTTACGACAACAAGGATCGCATGCTACAGGGAAACGTCAAGGAGTCGAAGACCAAATTCCAACATGTTCACATCTTGGAGGGAGCACCGTTTGGGGTTGAAGCACGTTCAGTGTTGTGCCAAGATGAAGAACATGGGCGCCCATCAAAACGACGAGTTTTGCTGCCCGTGCGCAATGCGACCGTTGCGGAAGCTCCGCGTCGAAGGTTATGGAACCTCGATGATCCTCGGCCGGGGTGCGCCCCGAACGAGCCAACCCACAGCGATACCCATCCACCCCCAAGATGCAAAATGATGCAAACTTTGCCAGTGCGTGCCCATGGAGTACCCACCGATCTGCAAATGTTGCTCGTGGCAGATTCGAAACCAAGTTTTGCATCTTGGACTTCTGTTCCAGGATCTCGAATTCTGGATCGGTGAAGTTTGGATTTCCGTGGCAAGAGCTTCACGCAAATACGGTTTCCAAACACGATTTCCCAGGCCGTCGCGGAGATCCTGCGCTGGGAGGGAGCTGCATGCCATGTACAAGCCCAAAAAGCGAGGAATGATTGCAGAAGACAGCTACAAGTAAGTCGCTTTCCGGCCTGGAAAACGCTAAAATCAACACAAGTGTGATTTCAGCTAATCGTCGGCCGGGAGGCAGCCGGCAGAATGCACGCATACACACATACATACAGCCACGCACAGTCCCACGAACAACCTGTCAAGCTCATAGACATGCTCGGTGTTCAGTTCCTGCTTTCTCAAAACAAGATAGGGCCGCAAACTCGAGGCACCTTGCGCAAGACACGGGCCACGAGCAACTTGCTTGGACAGGGGGCCGTGCTTGCCCGCGACATGCGAAGCAGAGGCGCTCAGACAGATTTTAGCAAAATGGGTGCCGAGGACCTGGACTTGCCACGCAACAAATATCCAGCTTTGGACCCCGCAGCAGCGCGAGTGGTGCTGCCAAGAAGACACTTGGCCGGAGAAGAAGGTCGATCAGAAGCTTGCATTGTTGGCGCTTGCACGTGGAGCCAACCGAAGCCTCACCAATATGGCCACTTCGGTTCCAGTGCCCCGGAACTGGGACTCCATGGAGAGCCCTCGTTCATCATGCAAGAGGATTATGAGTGAATGTGCCCTCTCACCAGTTCACCAGTTGAAGTGATTTCTGCTCGCATGACTGGGATACGTAAAGACAGGGTTGCTCTGCTAAGTGGAGAATTGCAATGATGCATGCATGCTCTGATGTTGGATTATCCGATGAATCCAACGTTCGACGAACCTGAGGAACACGTTGGATGTGCAGCAACGTCTCTGCCGTTTGATTGCCTCGATGGCCTCAGCATGTTCAAGAAGTGGTCATCCGAGAAGAGACAGTGGCTGCTTGGCGTTGCAAGTGGGTGCGGGGTTCGGCTTGCCAAGAGCTAGCCTACGCATGCCGCAGTACGGCGGTTCTTCTTTCCATTCCCGGTTGCACGAGGTGCTGCTCAGCCAGAGGCCTTGCGTGCCTCTGAGGGCGATCGAACAATCCATGAGAGGATTTTGCTTTTTGTGAAAGTAGGCAGCCCTGCCACCATTTCACAATAAGTAAAACTGCCACTGGCACTCTCACATCACAGAAGCTTCACGGCCTCTCATGGGATCTTCAAGGCGAGCAGAAGCACTTGCCTTGGAGTGCCTCATGGCTGACCACAGGATGTCAGCCAGGCCAGGTGTATCACTTAATTCGCAGGATACAGGACTCAGAAATTGTCAGGAACCTCGCAGTTCGTGCCAGTCTCGGGAGAAGGTCCTGCTACTGATAGTCTGGTATAGATTTTATGGCTTCAAGCGCCTGTCCATGGCGCCGCGAAAACCAAAGCCGTCTCGGGAAGCCGCCTTTCTGTCTCACCTCTTCACAGATCTCCACAGCACCACAGGTACGAACAACAGCGTTGCAACAAAAGCTGCCAAGCTTCCGTAACAGAGGCGGAGGCGACATGGTCGCATAGTTCTGCTTGTCCCGAGGCTCGCAGGATCCAGGCATGGGCGTCGGCCTGGCACTTGGTGCGCGGCTCGGTGCTGAAACCAGTCTTTCTCTCGGCTTGCCCCGCCGCACATTTCCAAAGCATGCTTTCGTCGGATGGAATGTCTTGGTTCGAGCCCCACTCGTTTCGGCCGCTGGTAATTTAAGGTCTGTGCGCAGGTCTCGACATGCCTAGCCGAAATCGCGAATTGCGTTGATGAAATGCTCCCGGCATCGCCTGCCTAGCCTTCGAGCTCGAACCATCCCCTTGAAGCATGTGGCGCTGCAAAGGCTACACCAGCCCAAGACGCCGTGGTTCAATGGAGTCTGCATCTTACAAGCCTAGCGACCTAGCGCACTTCTATCGGTCGGCAAGAGTCGCAAGAGCATGTAAGAGCAGGCGGCGAAGCGAGAAAGCGACAGTGCTCAGGGCCACGTGGTCCCACACATTTTTGGCCTGTACAGTAATGGGTCTAGACTAGAGAACAGCACAGGGATCTCCATGACGCCGGCATGCCGTTCGTTACTACTTGCTTGACAGCACAGGAAGGAGGTGATCTTTGGGTTCATGATCCTGCTAATGGTTGGCACTGTAGCGATGCAACGCCATGGACACCCCATCCTAGGTCGACGTCGACAACCATCCCTGATTGTTTTGAAGTAGGCACCAGCTACACAACTGCGCCATCCTGCATGAACCATTTATCAGTGCCATAGCCTTCACCATCTTGCATGCCAATAGTGCGCAGCCTAGCTGCAAGAGGCAGCTGAAAACTATGGGCTTGCAATCTCCATCGAATGCGAAGCTTGCTGAGTCAGCAGCGTCTGCCAGAAGACTTCCCGATGAGCGCGAGAAAACTCGAGCGGTAGAAAGCCCCCAAAACCGAAAACCAAACGAAAGGAGGCCTCTCCCATCTCCATGCTGCCCTGCTGTGCCACCGGGTTGAAGGTTTTCCTTACGACTGCAGTGGTTCGCTCCGAGCAGCCATGGGCCCTTACATGCTGAGGGCATTCGTTTGTGCGCCTTTTCCTTGTTTCCTTCACTTTGGCAACTTGGGTGAAAATCCAGCCTTCGCCAGGCCTCGCACTGCCTGGATGCAACGGAAATTCGAAATGGGCCACCGGACAGTCTGTTTTTGAAGGCTGTGCGAGATGTTTATGTCGGTCGATGTGAAGGTGTGGTTGAGTTAGTCGCGCCCTTGCATGTTTTTTTGCGTGCAGAGGAGATGAACTTTTGGGTTGAAGTCGTTGGGGCTGCTTCCCCAGCGACCAAACCTTCGGGTCGAGGCGGACGACACCTTCACTTACCTTCTTTCAACTCCTTCCTCGTGGCCTGAGAGTCAGGGTAGGCTCCGACCAGGTCGGTCGAGGGTGATGTTAGCTCCTGGCCTTTCAACCCGCGGAATGAAAAGACAAGTAGCCACTTTGGTTCGAGTACTTGCACTTCTGTTTGTTGGTGCAGCGAACAGCCCCGCTTTGCCAAGAGGGAAGTTTTTTGCCTGGCCTGCTTGCTCGGCCCCTTCTATGAGAAAGAGAATACCTACTTCTACGAAAAAATGCCTCGGACGGAAGCTGGTAGATTGGGGGCGATCTAACCCCAACCCCACGAACAAGATGGAGCTTGCAGCCAAGATCAGCCAAGTGAGCAAAGACACCAGAGATCATGGATGAGCCCGTGATCTCGGCCCCCCGAACACGAGTGCAACCCTTAGAAGCAAGACTTGACCGGACACCAAGTGAGCGTGCTGAGAGGGGGAAAGTGTTGTGCACGTGTCCTTCCAGCTCACGCATACAGGATCATGTGTTGGAGCCTTTGCTGTTCTGGTTGCACGAGGGACTTGACCTCAACAGGGAGCCGAACCACGACGCTAGGCGACCGTTGCAACAGCACACCTGCGGCACCAATCCTTGTCCTGCACTCCAGTCCTGTCGCAGGGCATTCTGTGACGAGCATGGACCGCCGTGTCGAGATGCGCAGTGAATGAAACTGAAAGCTGCTCGACGATGTCGGAAGACTGAGAGCAGGGACACCTTCGCAAACCGGCAAACGGTGAGAGGATAATTGGTCCATGGACCCCCAGATCCGAGAGTAGAGCGAGTAGTGGCTGACGACCACCTGAGCGCCTCGTCGCGGGCAAGCGAAAAACAACCAAGGTCGAGGACGACAGCAGGGATGGCAGCTTCCACTTGCAGGCGTGGGCGTCGTTGGGTCATCGGACCGCGGACTTTTCAGTAAGCGATGGCTGTACCGGTGGAGGGGGGTGAACCAGCCATAGCTTTCGTTCGTCGGGAAAGGTCAGTCGCATCATAGGATTGAGGGTCTGCAAGATGCAGGTGAAGATGACCCTTTGCATCTGCAAGCAGTTTTCGCTTCTGCCCCAGATGCCTCAGGACACCTTCCATGCCTCAGTAGGGCTTGGCATGACTGTTACGGCTCTACAGTGCCGCTGCAGCTAAAGGCAGCCAGCACCTTCATTTGCTATCAATGCGCCCTGAGACATGCAGAGGCTGCCCATGATCGCTCTCATCACGCCGAGCCTGGAGCTTTGCTGGAGAGTGGGGGGCGCGGGCATTTTCGAACGAATGCTGGCCAAGGCGAGCCATCTTGCAGCAGACACTGGCCCTCTTCGCTGCAACTCTCGCGAGCGATGGAAACAGACATTGGAATCGACGCGCAGATATTATTTGGACAGGCTTGCAAGTTCGGTGAATTCACCAGGATGACGGGCAGCGGGAGGTTTCGGGAGGTGTCACCCAAGTTTAGGCGATCGGTTGCAGAGTCTATGTAGTGTGGAGGACACTCAGTCATTCGGGGTCGGTTGGCAAGTAGTGGATGCAAGCGTGAACGCTGCCACTGCTGTGTGTGTGTGTGTCACGATGTCTGGTCTTCGCACCGCTTCACAGGAGTGATGCTCGACTGTTTGCAGTCTTGTGGTATTGTCCTGCAGTTTGAGAGCGAAGCCGCAAGCCTTTACCAACCTCGGCTCATTAGCAGTGGCTGTCAAATACTGACAGACATTAGCAGATAGGCCCGGTTCCAAAGGCCGCGTGTGACCAGCCCAAGCCAAGTTAAGGACCAGGAGAGTCGAGCGTCAGAGTCCCGTCGAAAGCAAGCTGAGATATGGGGTGTCATGCCTGTGCTCGATTGGCAGCTGCAGTTATACAGATGGCTGAACGCTTTACACAACCCCATTTGTCGACCTGAGCCTCCAGGACTCTAGGAAGACCCGCCTGTGCTGTGTAGCGGCTTCTAGGGGAATCGTGGCATCAGTGCACGAAAAATCGTGCTTGATGCCGCATTGATGCCACATTTGTCCCACTCCCCGTTTGCGCCGGCAGTCCCGTGTCGCGACCTTGGCCGGGGACACGGATATTTGGAAGTGCATGGATGTCTACAGTGTGTGTTGGCTTCTCATTTGTTTCCCATTCCTTGAGGTGGTGTCGATGGGAAGCTGTGCTAGCGTTCAAAATCACGAGAGAACTCCATTCTACGCAAGGCGCGTGGCCTGACTGTACAAACGCCTGTCTCCTACAACTTCAGATTTGTATGCGCAGGTTCATTCTTCAGGAGAAGATTGGCCAGGCAGCCAGCTGGATGGCAGACAACTCTTTGATCGGCATGTTGTCACCGCGAGACCTGCTGAATTGAGCGTATGTCTGGGGCAAACGGACAGAAAATATGTGCCACACACCTACGTACTCACTTCCCGATTTCACCAGGGTATCGCGAGATATCGTGAAGTACGAGCAGCGGTCGAATTTTGGGGTCGAGCGGTTCGGGCTACATTGCTGGGTTCGCCAGCTAGGCTAGGCATCGCATGCTGCTGGAAGTAAGAGTACAACAGCACAGGATTCAGAGGATGCAGCTGCAGACATTTCGCGGAGCCACTGTAACTCCCGTTTCGACATCTCGAAAGTCCGGAGGTCTCGTCTGAGCCTGCATTGAAAGCTTGTCAGGGTCTGGCAGAACGGCAGAAGTACTGTCCCTGAGAGCTCATGCTGTACATAGCGAGATCGTGACAGGGCTCCTATGGGAAGGTCTACCTGGTGAAGGCCGGGGTTTTGCACTGGGATGTGGTGGCCGTACCTGGTGTTCGCTGGTCAGGACAAGAGAAACCAAAAGATTCTGGCTGTCAAAGTACAGGCGGCGCAATTTGGCAGGGAGCCCGCCTGGCCGGCTTTGGAATATCGCGATGTTTTGGATGGACTGCATGCCACTGCACGCATGCCCTTCCTCTTCACGTTCAGGCTGCAGGTTGTTACGATGCGAGAGTTGAAAGCCACGCTCAGATTCCCGAGTCTTTCCTCAGGCCGTTTGGAAAAAGGCGAACACGAAGAGAAAGGAAGAAGCACCATCTATCCACGATTTGCCGATTGCGAATCTAAGCAGCTGGGCGGGGGCGGGAGAGCACAAGGTCACTGGAGCAAAACGTGTTGGCAAGCAAGGGTGATCGGCAAGGAAGCCACCCAAACGGAGGCACAAGATTCATACAGGATCATGCAGGACAGTCCCAAAGCAGTGAGAAAGAATGCTGGACAACTGCTGCGGACACCTCTGTTGGTCTCTGCCCTTCTATCTCTCGCGCCCGCGTACAGAGAGGGTTAGCGCGGGACCATGCGGCACCTGGGAAGGAAACGGTACAGGCGTGTAACAACTGATCAAGACGTCATGCTGTGCATAGCAGGTGGGTGATCACAGATGAGGTAAACATCTGGAGGTCGTTAGGCTGGGAACCAGTGCAATGTCTTTTTCCTTTCATGCTCAGCCGTCCTGGCGAAACTGCACATTTGCACCTGGCGAGGGCGACATCCCAACATCGTGTCCTTCCATGACCTGCTGCAGCCCCGGAGTCTAATATTCAATGACCGTGCAGCATCCTACAGCTTTCAGGCCTTTAGGTACATCCGGGTTGGTGACTCTCGTGGTGTGAACCGAGGCGGCAAGAAGCCAATGTCTACTTCATTTTGATGGAGGTTTGCCCCAGGGCATTGCCAATGGCTTAGAAAGCCAACCATCGCTTATCCCTGGCGAATGCTAAAGGATTGCACGGACAAGTCTATGCCTAGAGCATCTAGACCAGGGCCGGCATGCTGCAAGCTTGGCAGACGGTGTTCACATCAAGCCGCCACTTCGTGTCAGTACGGTTCGAGAAATGTGGCCGTGGCTCACATGGGTGCCATCCCATAACACTGGACGACAGAGCTTTGTAGCACATTCGCGAAGCGTCACACTCTAAATGCGAAGGCTGATGCCGCTTCAAACGAGCATCGATTCGGATGTTCTCAGACCGGTTCAGATGGCACGTTGCTCTTGCTGGGGCCACGGCTTATGAAGCAAAGATTGTAAGACTCGCAGTAATTATTTGCCGCGACCCAACTAAGAGAAGTTTTCTTTGTCCACCGCCAACCAACGCCGAGCAAGTGTGCACAGCACCGGAATGTGCCGCGGGATCTCGGCAGTCTTTCTTTTCAGACTCACTGTCGTTGACCTGCTGCGCTCGACGGGACGGCTTATAGCCACACGGACTTGCCACCCCACCGAATCAACAATCTGGCAAGACTGCTGGTTGGCAACAGGTTTCCGTGTTTGTAACTTCTTTATGAGACAGCATGAGCGGGGTTTCGATTTCCGGCCTTTCAGGTCCGATCGTGTGATGTACTCACCGCAGTGGACGGCCGTGGATCTCATGTGCTAATCTTAGGGGGGGTGTCGCTGCAGCAGATTTGAGTTGTCTGATCTTGGCCTCTGTGATCTCTGCATTGCCGAGGCATGACTTCAAGCAAGCTCTGCTAGAGCCACAGCGTCGAAAGTCGACAGCCGTCGCTGCGCAGCGCATGCGCGAATCTCTCTTGAGCTTTCGTTGTGCGTGTGAGAGTGTGAGTAAGGCTCGGCCTTTCACACATGCATGCCCGGAGGCAGGGAACCGCTTTGTTCTTGCATTCCCCGTCCGCGGCGACTTTCCGTGCCCGTCCACAAAGCCCCGGAGCCAGCATACTTCTGGCGAGGATTCTCCATCGAGATATCAAGGCTGTGAGCTCGTGAGGGTGTCGGCAGCATTTCAAGAGGCCACTTCGTTTGAGGTGCAGAACTTCCTGTATGGTGGTCGGGACGACAGGCCGACTGGAGCCTGAGCTCATGCCTCTAAAATCCACTAACCGCAGTTGCAGATCACACTTCTGTCGCGCCGTCTCCTGCTCTGGCAGGACTCTGAAGCTGGCAGATTTCGGCTTGTCCGTCCATCTCCGTCCAGGAGGGAATGTGTTTATTGTATGTCGAGGCGCTCACACGGATGGTTTCAGCTTCATGAGTTCCTCTGCAGGAGAGAAGCTGGATGCAGCCGCGCCCTCTGATGTAAAATGCTCTGCGGGGTTTGTCCGTTTTAGAGGTCCCGCAATGAGGAAAAGAATAGGCAAGTCGGCTGAGCTACCTTCTTTACACAGTACGTACTGAGGGACCAGGGTATAGGGCCCTATGAGGCCCTGTTTGTTTTCCTACAAAGGACAGCCCCTGGTGCTACAGTGTCCTTGTTCTTCCCATTCTTCGCCCTCTGCACATGCGGCCTTCCCTTGTTCGTGCTAAGGTCTGCGGCTCTCCAGCCTTCATGGCACCAGAGATGGTCATGAGGCAAGGCTACGAATTCAAGGCGGCCTCTCACGCGCTTGCTGCTTGCTGCCGGGCCCCAGGAGCCTCCTCTCTCTTGTCTCTCTTTCCCTGTGCCAGATCGACATGTGGAGCATGGGGGTCACTTTTTTCATGGTTATGTATGGGACTCTCCTCGTCGGGACCTCGGGCCCCGCTTGATTGATCTTCCCTTTGCCGGCTTGAAAGAAGACTCAGGTTGGAAAACCCAAGATGAGCGTTCCTGCGGCTTGGTGGCAGCGTTCGCGTGCCATGCCGGCCAGCCTGCCAGAGTCCCATGCCTGCTCACGCACATGCCCAGGAGATGAAGGAGGCGATCAAAAGCCCGACAGCTACGAAGACGGCGCTGCAAGGTGCAATGCAGAAGGCTGACCGGGATATGCTCTGCCGTGACAGTTGCACCGGTCTGGATCAGTACAAAGACCCCCCCGCCTCCCGATTCGCTAAAGTTCTGCGTCTGGTAACAAGCTTTTGTGTGGGATCTGAGCCGGTTGGTGGCTCTTTCGCAAATGGGCCCATTCTTACAGCAGCGGTATGGACAAGTCATGCTGTTCGGGAGAGCAGTCGTGATGCCATTCGTGGACCACTTTGCCTGGAGCTTGCTAAAATTGGAATAGTTGTAGCATTGGCTGCTGGAAGCTTTGGGAGGCAAACACTTGACACCGCATCAGCTTCTCGAGATTATTGGAGTATTGTTGGCATACACTACGGGGTGCAGTGGCTGTAGTTGCAGAGCAACGCGGAACATGTTGGCACTTCAGGCAGATACGTGCGAAGGCGAAGAGCGCGAGTTGAAGCACGCTGCCTGTCACCCAGCGTTTGCATCATCCAACGTCGGTACGCGCCTATTAAGGATGCATGCCGAGCATGTAACGTAAGTCATACAGTACTTGCTTTGCCTTGCCGCATTGAGGCTTTGGACGTTGTGAAGCAGTTGCCATGCCCCCAACGAGTTGAAGCTGTGGGTGCATGCGCCACTGCGGGGCTAGCTCCATCGAGTGGGCACGAGGACCGTGAGGGAGCCGACCCAGAGAGTTGGCCCCAAGGATGCGCAGCGGCCCCAGAAAAGTGGTTTTTCATAGTGGTTTGGCCTTGCCGATTTGCGATTGGTCGGGAAAGGAAGGCGAACAGGACACCCATGTCCCTGGTCCCAGTTCCAGCGTATTCCAGCTACTATCGGCTTGCCGATGCACTAACAAATGTTCTGGCTTTGGGATGGGTCTGGAAAAGTGTGGCTCACTGACGATCCTTTGCTACCACAGCGTGACTGTCTTGCACATGCCGTTGAATCCTGTCTAGGGCCGATCGTTTGAGTTGCACTCGTCAATCTCGCATTTGCTTCTGCCAGACGGTATGATAGCCCGTGCAAGATTTCGACAAAACAAGCCTAGATGTCAACACAGATCTTTGCCAAAATTCACGGCCAGAACTGCGCCACCTTCCAACAGCACTATTCTAAGGACCGGTTTGTTTTTGCCAGACACCATCCATGTTCTGCTACACTGCTACACCTTGTAGTGAGCACCACCGGCACTTCAGGGGTGAGGAGCAAGAGGTTGTACTCCCAACAGCAGCGTGCCGAAGCAAGGCTGGACCTACCTTTCATTCACTTAGTGGCGGTGGCCAGTGAAGAAGACTTGGCCAGATACAGGAAAGCTTTGCACTCAGTGCGGGGGTTCACCTGTTCACATGAGCCTCTTGCGGCCCTTGCTGCCCTTGCACTGGCGCAATCGCCTGTCAGCCTTGCGGGTCTTGCTGCTGTCCATGCCACTCTGTGTTCAACCTCCCGATCTTGAACTCATGAAGCGGACACGAGTTTTCCCAAATTGCGCATTGTCCTGAGATCTTGCTGGTGGACCGCCCTCCAGCTGCCAAGAAGAAGGACGGCAAGATATTGTTGACTTGTTGACAGAGTCTCGTTTCTGTTTCCGTGCATGCTTATTAGCCAGCTGCCATCCGCTGCTGTGTCGTCGGCTGTGTAGGTAGTAAGTGTTTAGATCGTCAAGTTGTCTGGGGTGGCATCGCCGGTGTGATTATTGAAAGCAGGCGGTGACGGAACCGGAGGCTGATATGGTCCGATCAGGCACCAGGGGAACCTCAGCGCAGTGGGCTAAAGGTTCAGCTGGCTTTGCTTCAGGCGTGGTATTAGGGCTCAAGCTTGTTCCAGACTCTAGACGTGATGTGCGTGTATGTGTGTGTGTGTGCATCGATGAACCTGCAGACGTGAGCCGGCCTCACCCATCCTAAAGCAACTCCTCAGCAGAAGCCCGTGCAGTGCAATAAGTCAAGTTTCTTGCAGCTAGCGCATGAGCGAGAGGGACAGGAACCCAGTGACCTGGCAGGCAAGCCACCCGTACCTCGCAAGCCCCAGCCGCAAAGTCCCAGAGTGGATGCTCTTACGCCAGTCGGGGACCTCAGCTTTTTTAGGCGCAAAGGGCTCCCCATGTCCCATGTGAGTGGCCACAGTAGCTGTGCGGACGTTGTTCGAGATCGGAGGGTGCAGCAATTGTGTGTCCTGTGTGTGTTGGGTCAGGTGGGCGCGGCATTTTCAGTGGTTTGGAGGGCTTGTCCGATTTGTCGCTAGCAAGCTCTGCGCCAGTTGCAGTGCAATGGCTCCACTGCCCCTTTTGGATGCCGCCGAGGTGGTGCCTGGTGGCGGAAGCGGCGGCAACCCACCTTTTACGACAAGTGGCGACAGGCAGAGGGCTGAGCTCTTGTTGACAGGAAGGGGCATGTTAATGGCAATCAGAAAGCCGAGGCAACTTGGAGTCGGGACCTCAGGAGATCGGATTTGGCCTGCCTCTGTGCGCCGTCAGATTGGGAATGTTGGCGTATGGAAAGACATTGTACGTTTACCGTTTACCTATGTGCCTTTTCGTGTGTGTGTGTGTGTGTCTATCTTTATGCTTACACAGATCGCATAGTACTGTGGGTCTCTGGATTGTGGTGTACGGCTGCTTGCGGCCGGGCTGCATCCGAGTGTGACTTGACCACCTACCAGCTTCTTCGGGAAACTTTGCTGGATTTCGCAGGTGAATGTCAGTGATTCCGGTGCTGGGCCAAGCTTCCCACTGCCTGCGATGCAAGTGTACCTCTGTAAAGTTGCCCGTCTTGTATTTAAAGTGTTAAGCTGCTAAACCAATCTCCGGAGATCTTAGCATACAAAGGCCAAGGCAAGCGAAGGGCAAAGTCCTCGAACGTCATTATGTTCCAGGGAAGCGATGGCCGGGGCCTCTGAAATGAATGGCACCGGCAGGTTGTCTAGCGGCCTCGGGTGTGCACCAGACTTGTCAGACTAAGGAGTCGCAAAGCGACCGTCTGACAGAATTCAACTTCCAGATCATCTAGACTCCCCGTCCCCGAACAGCCACGTGCTTACTGACGGTGTGATGGGAGGTTGCGGGTCCTCAGCATGGGCTGGCGACTGACGACTCAGTGAGACTGATGACAGATGGATCCTTGAGTCACTCAGCAGTGAAGTCTCTGATGACCGAGGCTTTCGCGGAATGGAGGGCGGCGCATCTTCACTGAAGTTGCAGCGATTCAAAAGCTCCGGTCTCAAGTCTCTTGCTTGCCTGCAGTCTGCGTCTACGTCCATTTGGGTTGACTGTTGCGCGGGCAGAATGATTTTCTGGACCGCACACAACAAGAATCAAGTCCCCACCCTGCCACGCAAGCCCGTTGAGAAGCCGTGTAGACAGTTGAGGTTTCTTCTGTTTTGAGCTTCCAGATGCCGACCCCGGAAATAGCCATACTGATCTTACGAATGAAATACCATGATCTGTGGTTTTCTTCGATGGTGTCATAATATGCCTCCACGTTTTGACGCCCGCTTCCCCAGGCGCCGGAAACCTCGAAGGCTCCCAGCTCAGTGCCGAAGCACTGTCGCGAAGGGAACTGTCGGGGGGTCGAACATCCTGGTTTGTCTCGATTTGAGTTGGCACAGATCGCTGAGCTGCAGCTTCTGGGCTGAGGCTGTAAGAGGGTTTCTGAGACAAAATCCGCGTTCTCGTGGTTTCATCGACGTAGAAATGCGACATGGAGACGCTGTAAGTCATATTCGGCCTTCCACAGGCTTGGGCGACATGCGTCGGAGCTTACAAGTTCACCGTGACGGTGGGTCAACAACCCTAGGACGGTGATGGTCTTCCTCCTGCCTGGCCTGCTGGACAACTGTGAGAGAATGGTCCGGTTTGGAGGACTTTGGGCAGCTTGGTATTTGAGCATGACGTCCCGTCAGGTCAAGGAGGCTTTGTGGCCAATAGTTCTGACATTGAAGCACGATATGGCAAGAAGGCTTATTGTCATCGGTGGCCATGGCGGTCGCGGGGAGGGTCAACGGCCGTACTCAAGCGCAGAGGTTTGGGATGAAAGATGTGAGTCCTGGAATGCCTCAGCGGGGCCATCACTTGCACGTATGCACGGAGTGGCTGTTGCTGTAAATCACTACCTGTATGTGCTGGGAGGGAGAACCAGTGACTGCCACACTACCACTAGTGTCGAGAGGCTTGACTTCTATCGTGGCTTGCCATGGGAGTGTGCGCCATCGATGACAAATGCCCGCTACAGCACGGCAGCCTTGTGCCTATCTGGTATGCTTTGCGTTCTTGGAGGCTTCGACGGGGTTGATGCCCTGGACTCGTGTGAAGCATTGAGGCATGCGGACTATTACCTCAATTCAGACTCTTGGCAAGCTCTTGCACCCTTGCCCTTCCCACGAGGCAAGCATGCAGCGGTTGCCATAGCCAGCAGTTTGTACCTTGTAGGTGGCATGGATAACGGTTACCGAAGCCTGGACCTTGCCAGCAAAGCTTCTGTCCGGCACGCCAACCTTTCAGACTGGGCCCCGCTGCCACCCATGCAGAATGCCAGAAGCGGCTGTGCCGCTGCTGCGGTCCGGGGAGCTATCGTGGTGGTCGGTGGTGTCGCAAATGGATGGACAACTTTGTCCAGCGTAGAGCGATTCCATCCGGAAATCGAGCGATGGGAGATGATGGCGCCCATGAGCATCATCCGCCGAGAGTCTGCGGCCGTCTGCATAGCCGATGAACTCTGGGTACTTGGAGGTGCCTCTTACGGTGGGCGGAGCTCTGGGCAAGTAGAGATCCTTCGTGAAGCATCTTTTTGGAAACCAGGTACCTCCCATACACCTCGCTCAGGCTGTGCAGCTGCCCTTCTGCGAGGTTGACCTTGCAGATGCTGCACCCGTACCCCGTACTTATCGCCACATTACTGTCTCGTCTCCTTCTGCAGACCAGGCCTAAGGCCCAAGCAGTGTGCAACAGCTAGCGTTCCAAAGGCCAAAGTGCCTTGCATGTATGGGAGCAATGCTGGCGAAAGAAGCGGGGAATCTATCATGCCCGGTGGCGCAGCTGGCAGATTCAGATGAGGGCAGAGCTGTGCACTGCAGGTGGCCGCCGCCAGTCGCAGCACTCGAAGGCAAAGAGGGCGTCTTGCTGGGCTTCAGTTGAGCGGTGCTAGCATGGCTTTGCAAGCACCTATCGAGTTGCGAGCACCTGTTTTCTGCAGGTGAGCTGCGAGCCAGCAGCTCAGAACAGGAAGACCTCAAGCACTCGCAGGTGAGGCCGAACTGGAGATTCTGAAGAGATGTGCGGAAACCGAGTGCCATGTGATCCGTCGCCCGGTCCCAGCTGATCGAGGACCTGAATGACCGTTAAGCACTTCAGCACTTTAGCACAACCCGCTGGTTTTGAACTTGAGCCCTTCGAGTTTTCCGAGCCATCGGAGCCATGGTGGACCACATGATTCAGGGCCAACTTGGCTCTCTGACCAGCTCCACACCCTCTGCCCCGAGCTGGGAGGCAAAGCGGGATGAGGCAGGGACAAGTTCCAGAGGGCAGGATAGATGTGCAGCATTGTGCAGATGTCGATTTTTTTCCGAGGTGGACCGCATGGAGGAGGGCAAGAAGCCAGAAGAGCTCATGCCCATGTACATGGAGGGCCGTGCCGTCCAGGCCGGTGGCCTTGGCAGCTTCTGGAGCCACTATCGCGTTCCAGTTCTAGTTGGAACCTTGGTTCTTTTGGGCCTGTTCCTACTCCTGGGACCCATCGGTGGCATGCAAACCGGCAGCGAAGAGGGAGCCAGCAGTGCTGTGAAGACCGCGGACATGCCGGAAGCAAGCCGGGCACCCCAGTCCGAGCTACTGCAGCTACTGGACCTGCGGCAAATAAAGATACTGCAGTACGTGTGCTTTGTTTAACATGAGGGCAGTCTTGGACATGCCGGTGGGTGATGCAGGTCATGTGGAACCTGCAGACATTCGTCCAAATATGTCGTCAGCGTCGGACACAACCGCCGCCAAAGCAGCAAGTTCGGTGGAAGCCGCGCAAGGGGAGCCAGTGCCAGCGGCTGCCACAGCGGCTGCAGCAGTCAAAGAGGTGCCTCAGAATGGTGAGATCACTGAATGAATCCATGCAGATCCCCTGAGCTTCAGGTGGGGTCCAACACGACAGAAGTTGCCAATGAGACTACAAGTGAAGCTCCCGAGGATCCAGCCATCGTCCCCTTGTCGCATTCAGCCTCTAAGAGTTGCACCTGGGGTCATGGACATGTCAGTGCACACCGTTTAATCAGTCGAGAGGCTGGATGTAATCCTGACCTTGTCCTTTCTTAGCATCGTCAAGTGGCAGCCAATCTGATAGGCGAGGTTGCTGCAAACGACGCATCAGATATGATGGAGTGCAGGCAAGCTACAAAGCAGCTTGCCCGACTTTGCTCAAGCTTCATGGAGCATGTGCTCCGGCCTCAGTCGCCTGCCATGGAAGCCGTGAGGCAAATCATGCAAGCCTGTTTGTGTGCTGCACCCGTCAGGACTACGACCTGTCCGCCGACGATCGCAGTCTTCATGCGCAGACTTTGGTGCGAAATGTGTGTCCGACAGAGTGCGGGGTTGTAGCCGCTTTCCTGCATAAGGCTGTGCCGCTTCTTCGATGCCGAAACTAAACAATACAAGAGCGAGTTGGGATTACCTGGGGCCGTTGCTGTCGTTGCTGCTGCTACTGCTGTTGCTGCTGGCGCTGCTGCTGGTGTCGATTTCGTTGGTGCTGCTGCTGGTGCTGTTGCTGTTAGTAGTGTTAGCAGCAGCAGCAGCAGAAGAAGCAGTAGTAGTAGTAGTAGTAGTAGTAGCAGCAGCAGCAGCAGCAGCAGCAGCAGGTAGTAGAAGTCGTAGTAGTAGTAGTAGTCGTCGTCGTAGTAGTAGTAGTCGTCGTCGTCGTAGTAGTAGTAGTGGTGGTGGTGGTAGTGGTAGTGGTAGTAGAGGTAGTAGTGGTAGTGGTAGTGGTGGTGGTAGTAGTAGTGGTAGTCGTGGTAGTAGTGGTAGTAGTGGTAGTAGTAGTAGTAGTAGTAGTAGTAGTAGTCGTAGCCGTAGTAGTAGTAGTAGTAGTAGTAGTAGTAGTAGTAGGCGACAGCCTGCTCCTGTGACCCGCCCCTCCTCGCCTCCTTTGTCGCTTGCCTCTGACTGTGACCCCTGCCCCGAGCATGCGGGCAGCCGTTTCGTCTCTGCGCCACCGCACTCTGCGCCACGGCGCACTGCTTTGTTGCCCGGCTTGGGTTTTACTCTTAGACTGGTTTGGTTAGGCTTGGCTTGGGTTTTACCCGGCTTTGTTAGATAGGGGTCTTATTGTTAGAT